GTTCCTCCAGGTACCTGCATGGCCTGTTTGCTCACAGCTTTCATAGTCTTGCGCCCATCTCTCTTTAAACTGTACCTGTCACCTCTCCTACTTCCCCAGCCCCCTGTCATTCCCCGCCCCCTCCTCCTAACTAAAGCCAGCCTGAGCCTTATGATAGCCTCCCCCCTTTTGTTTTTGTTTTTGTTTTTTTTTTTTGAGACAGGGTTTCTCTGTGTAGCTTTGGAGCCTGTCCTGGAATTAGCTCTTGTAGAACAGGCTGGCCTCGAACTCACAGAGATCTGCTGCCTGCCTCTGCCTTCCGAGTGCTGGGATTAAAGGTGTGCACCACCACCGGCTGGCTGACAGCCCTTTAAAGTATGTGCTTAAAGTGTATGATAAAACAACCCTCCTTTTTCTCTTGGGCCCATGGCGCTGGCAAAATGAGCAAGTGTCTGGTCTCCGTATAGCCAGGAAGTTCCACAGTCACTGACTGGACCAGAAGTGCCATGATAAACAACACAAGAAACACTTGGGCACAGCCCTGAAGGCCAATCTTTTTGGAGGTGCCTCTCATGCAAAGGGAGTTGTACTGGAAAAAGTAGAGGTTGGAGCCAAACAGCCCAATTCTGCTATCCGGAAGTGTGTCGGGGGCAGCTTGTCAAGAATGGCGAGAAGCTCATGGCTTTCGTGCCCAGCGGGGGCTGCTGGAACTTCATTGAGGAAAACGACGAAGTTCTGGTTTTTGGATTTGGTCAAAAGGTCATGTGATATTCCTGGAGTCCTCTTTAAGGTTGTTAAAGTAGCCAACGTGTCCCTTTTGGCCCTGTACAAAGGCAAGAAGGAGAGACCAAGGTCCTACATCTTGACAGTAATAAATTTTTTATATTCTGAAAACAAAGACAAACAAAAAGCCCTCATTGTTACGAGGGGAAACTGAGGCAGAGCCCAAGTTAGTGACAGACAGTATTAGTGTCTCATCTGAGTCAGCCTGGCTAGGGGACTACACTGTTTCATACCATCTGTCACCTCGGCAGTCAGTCAAGATGGTTGCTTGTGTGTGGTGTTTTAAGTTGGGTTTCACCACCCAAGGGTTCGGCCTTAGCTTCAGAGGGGCTCCATCTTCACAGTGCCAGGTCTGTAGCCCCTCCCATACATGGAAGCACAAAGCTCCCCACCGTGAGCTGTGCCTAGGTCTGTGGCTGGAGCAGGCTGCATGGAGACTGGCATTCTTCAGGCCTCAGCCGGGGCTGCTTCTTTCCCTCACCACGGGAGTGCTATTTCTTTGCTGTTGTTGTTTTACTTAAGGCCTCCCCCTTCCTTATCCCTGTAATGAATGAATTCACATTCAGGTCTTACTGTCCCTGTCAGGCTTCCAGGGAAGGGCAAATGGCTGACTTCTGAGAAATTCTCATTCTCGTTCTTCCTCCTGAGGAGCCTGATGGGGTTGTTCAACACCCTGAATCCACCCAGAGCCTCCTTCTCAGCTCTCAGCCTCTTCCCTCACCCCGCCCCTCACCAAGGGAGCAGACATTTGTGCAATTTTCAGGCCAGGGTAGACTAATGCTCCTGGAATTGAGGTCCAGCTGTAAGGGCTGATGGTTCCCAGCTCCTGGGAGGGTGTCCTATCCATTCATGGGGCTGGGAGGGTGTTTGGAAAGACATTCGCAGTTTGGTGTCAGCCTCTCATATGTCTCCGACCTGATTTGTAGAATCAAGGCTGGACTCCTCAAAGCTGTTTCCTACCGGTGTCCCAGTCATGTTGGAAGAACTGGGCCATTAGGACTTTCTTCCCAAGTTCGCCACCATGCATCCACAACTCAGGTCCTACTACAGTCTATGACACTAGAGCTTCGGGCCTGTAGCTTCATTGTGGTGGGTGTAGAGAAAGACCAGGCCTGCCTGGACCCAGCTGTCAGTCTTCTCACAGCTGTTCACGACAGCTGGTGTAGCAGCCCTCAGTGACAGACATACATTGGTCATGGTGGTGACTTGATTTGGGAGGATTTCCTGGGAAGGAGACGCATTCCTTTGGTGAGAGCTTTCCCAGGGTGGCCCACAAGGACAAGGTCTCCTCCAGCCATGTCTGACTTCCCTAGTCATTCCAGGTTTGCCCAAATAGGAAGCCCTGAGCTGGGCCAGCCTAGCTAGAAACAGGGCACTTATAATTACTGAACAGGTAGTCAGTACTGAGACAGTAAGTCACATGAGCCCCGGACATTGATTTCCAGTCCCATTTTAAAATCTATAATCTATGACAATGAGGGTGGTGAGCAAGGGGACAGGGGCTTGGGGAAGAAATAGCCATTGGGCAAGCAGCCTCATGCATCGCGGCGGGTGGGGCCCCGATCTCTCTGCCCCGGCCCTGGGGACTGAAGACATTGCAGCTGGCACTTAAGGCTTTGGTTCTGGTATTATTTATTCACTTAAAAAACCCTTACTCACTGAAGTAGTATAAGCCGGTTGCCAAAATGTAAAAAGAGAGTATGGGGAAAAATGTTCAAAATTCTAATCTTATTTGAACAGGCACCATTAGCATTTTGCTGTATTTATTTTTGGCATTTTAATGTCTTGTTTTCCTGTGCTTGAGGGTACTTGGTTTTTCATTACTTGAAAAGAAACTTTTTAATTGCAAGAATAATATGATGGAGTTTTCAGCTGTTAACATTTTACATACTTCTGTTTCCCCTCTTTATCTGTATATATTTATACACACACAAATATGCATATCTGTGCGTATATGTTGTTATCATTAGTCTCTAGTTTTTGATAGCTCAGCTTGAGGAATTCAGTGCTGGGGACTAGAAGATCTGGTTTTCATTTCATCTCTGCCACTTCTTAGCTTTGCATTGAAGAGCTGTCACCTCTCCAATCTGTTTTATCTCTAAAACACCCCTACCCTGAGTTAATTCCTTCACTGGAATCTGGTCATCTGACTAGATCAAGGGAGAGAGGGAACAGAGGATAAAGATACCTCATAGACCAAAAGGCATCGGTCACCAAATAAGGCAATGTCCAAACCGAACTGTGACCCTGAGCTTAAGGAGGTCCCCCTGGGTCGATGAGGATGCTGACTGATGTCTCCAGGCAGAAGGTCTTGGGCAAGTTCCACACAGAACAATCGGTGCTAGTCCTGGGGTGCCTTAGGTCAGGACCTGCCTGTCACACTTTTACCTAAGCTGGGCACAGTGTCCCAGCCATGATTTCGGCAGTGGGTAGTCTGAGCCATCAATAGTCAGCCTAGGCACTCGACTGACCCCTGCTCCTACGGTCAGTGGGAAGCATTACATTAAGGTTGAATGCTAACAGCAGACCAGAACTCCAGGACATTGCTTCTGGCCCATGTGTGCTGTGCCTGGCAGGCAGTTAACGTGGGGAGTGAGATTATTGCCACATTCATCACGATTTGGGCTGGCTTTCTGAATGGCTCGGATACAATTGTCTAGACTACTTCCTGGAAGAAGGGTTGATGTTGGAAGTCGGAGCAGTCATCTTTTCCCCCGGGTGGTCAGTGTCCGTGGTCCAGTGTTACAAAGAACAAAAGTAACACTGGCAGGAGCCTACGAGCATCTTTCTTACTATCTTCATCCCCATTACTACCTTTCATCCCGTGAGGCAGCACGGCCCAGACTGTCGTCCTAGTTCTCAAGCTGAGGAAGCGGAGGCCAGAGCAGAGGCACTTAGAGTCTCCTCTCCTCGTCCTGCGCTCGTTTGGGCAAAGATAGCATGGATGTCAGTGCGCAAAGGGTCACTCTTCAACCATACACCTTCCTGCTGCATGGCGCATAATCATGGCGGTTCATTGCTGTGTCCGGGCTGCAGCTCAAGCCCTTTCCTGTGTGCTAGGTGCTGCTGGATGAGGAGAGAGATGCCATGGCGAGGTCCCGCAGGCTGGAGCGCAGCACCAGCAGCTTCAGCTACTCTTCTTATCACACTCTGGAGGAGGTAGGTGCACCTGGAAAACTCCACACTCTAAGGTTCCTGTATCACACTCTGGAGGAGGTAGGTCCACCTGGCGAGCTCCACACTCTAAGGCTCCTGGACCCCTTGGGATCTCCAGGATCAGGCAGAGACCAAGGAGGAGTCTGAGACTGAAAATGTGGGGAGTGCAGAGAAAGTATGTTAGGTAAAGGGTCCGGAGTCAGATAGCGAGGACGTACATCTAGGCAGGCTCAGAGCCTAGGGAATGGTTCCTCAGCCGGCACACTAGGGTGTGGACCCGTGACAGGACACAACAGAGTCGGTGGAGGCTGCCTTCACGTCCCGCCCCTGACCAGTGATTCGTTGACCTCCTCGTGAGCAGTCCTGGTGTTCTGTGGCCCCAGCTGTGGATTCTTGAGATACCAGAGGCAGCAATCCAGACATACTGAGAAGCTGTCAAGCAGTTGCTTGTGCTTGGTGAAAAGTATGGTCATAGTGACAGACAGTGAGGGCAGATTTTAGCAATGGCCACTGCGTTTAAGGGAGAACACACAAGTGGGAACAGGAACTTCCTCTCCAGAAAGAAACTCAAAGCATAGGTCCCATTTGCCTGTAAAGGACATGACATCATTGACAATGTCTCCTCCATCACTCTTGTCATTTCGTAAGACCTGTAATAAGGAACCCATTTTGTTTCTAATGTTTATTCATTGATATGCTCTGGAAGTACAAGAAAATGAACTCATATAGACTGTCACTGTTATTGATGTCAGCAATAAATAAAATCCTACCCTTCCCTCCAAGCTGCTGAGTATAGGAGTGAAAAAGACATAAAACAGCACTCCCTAGTTTATGAGATCTGTCGGATGGATAAAACACACTACAGGGTGAAGGCAAGAGAAGGAATTTTTGACAGAGAAAGCCATGCAGGCCATGTCTAGGAATTTATTTTTGTTATTATTTTTTTTTAGACAGGGTCTTCCTCCATAGCCCAGGCTACGTTGACTTGCAGATCCTCCTGCCTCTGCCTCTCAAGGGCTAGGATTACAGACATGCTACCCCAGGCAGCTCATGCCTAGGATTTGAGTGGGCTCAATACATGTTGTTTTCTCAGGTGAAAGTGTAGTGCCAAATACGCATGGAGAGCCTGACATTTCACCCAGGCCACAACTCAATGTCCTTTAGCTCTGAGGGTATCTTTAGGGCTTGGAATTCTTGGTCCGCATTCTTTTGGGCTCCCAGGGGAAGTAGGAAGGCAATAAAGAAGGCAGGATGAACAATATTCACTGACGTGCTTGGAACTCCCCCCTCCCCATTTAACTGCCAGTCTGATAGACTTCATTGCTTTCAGATATATAGTTGGATTGACAACTTTGTAGCTGAACATTCTAATCTTGTCTCCAAAATTAACATTGGCAACAGCTTTGAAAATCGGTCCATTCTCGTCCTGAAGGTAAGCGCCTACTGCACCAGGCAGTAGACCATATAGTGAGCATCTTTATCCTAAGACTGGGCCCCTGAGTAAGTGACTGGGTGGGAGTTTCTGGATAGGAAGGATAGGCGTATACTACAGATCCATGAGCTTTGTGTCATCGAGGACTCAACCTCTGTGGGTGTGACTAGGTGGCAGTGTGGTGACCTGGGGGGAAGGAAGGTAGCTAAAGAGACAGGGCTGTGGAGCGGCAGTCCTTACCTCAGCTCCGGGTGAGTGTTTCAGTCAGTATCCTTCCTGCTGCCAAACTTGCTTCACCTGCTGAGTGAGAACTGAGGTGCTCGTAGGGTTCATTTGATAATGACCGAGGCCATCTGGCTTAGGCAGTCCTACAGATAGGCCTGCAGCTCTCGAGAAACCTTCCAGTCCTTCACGGGGGCCCCTGAATACAGCTTGAGCAGACTGTAGAGCCCTTGGTCATGATGGAAGCCGGGTGGGCAACCCTAGCCTGTGTTCCAGCCTGTGAACCATGTGCCGTGCTCAGCATCAGCTGTCATGGAGGCTAGGCATCGAGGTGCTCATGGGGCTCTGGCAGGGGCTTCTGAATAGTCACGTGACCTTGCCTACCTTTGCCTTGATCTCCGCACCAGGCATTGTCACAGCCTCTCTCTAAGAGGACATTGCTCCTCCAAGTATGGCTTTGCTCATCTGTCCCCTCGTCATCTTGAAGGCACACGTATTAGAAATGCAAACGATACAGCCCTCCTTAGACCTGCTGTACCGTAATGTGCCTATTAGTTAAGATTTCCATGAGAACAAGGTGCTTTCAGTCTTGGGAAATTCTGTGTTTCAGGTTGGGTGGCCTTGCCATCCAAGGCATGTAAACAAAGACGTGTGTTCTACTTCACAGGCATGTGTGTGTGGACCAGTGAGTCCTCCTTGTCTCAGGTTGAGTCATTCCTGACAGTCAGGATACATCTTGAGGGACAGCATCTTGGCTGTCTTGGTCAAACCTCTGTGATCTGATTTTTTCCCCCAGTTCAGCACTGGAGGTTCAAATCGCAAGGCTATCTGGATCGACACTGGGATCCATTCCCGAGAGTGGATCACCCATGCCACCGGCATCTGGATCTCAAATAAGGTCAGCTGGGACTGGCAATTGGAGAATAGCATCAAGGGACCGGGACCAGTGGGGAGGGGGTTCCTGGGTATTTAAAGGAACCTCTAGTTGAAAAATTTGACTCAGTTCTTTAAATTCTCTGTCCCCTCCTGCCCTTTAGAACATTATCACATACTCTGGCCTTTTACAGCTGGGGAGTCCGGCTATTCTCTGGTTTCCAGCTGTTTAAAAGGAAAGCCTTTGGTTCTATATGGGATATATTTGATGACCCAATGCCACCTCTTCCTGTGTCAGAGTCCTTCCCTGCCTCCCAGAAACACCTGGGAAGGGCCTCCTCTGTCACCCACCCCTTTCCTGCAGATTGTCAGTGCATATGGCAAAGACCATCTCTTGAAGAAAATACTGAATGCAATGGACATTTTCATTGAGATTGTCACCAACCCTGATGGCTTTGCTTTTACTCACAGCATGGTAAGGGCAGCTGGGAATCTCCAGTACTGGTCAGCTGGAGTGTGTGTTAGGGCAGGGACATGGCATGGTGGCCTCTGAAGCTGGCTTCTTCAGAGGCTTTCCACAGAGAGCCTGCCTGCTCGGGTATTAAAGCTATGGGGTTAAAACCATCTTCCCCAACAACCTGCCCGCTGCCCAAGGAAGCTCCCATTGGCAGCATATGACTAGATTTCTCCCTAAGCCCTCACAGAAGACCCAATCTGCACAGTCTGGCCCAGCACCACACCAGCCCATCCTGTCGCTGGAGGCTCCTTCCCTTTGCTCCTTCCCGCCCCAATAGATCCCTCCCCTTTCATGGGCCAGGATGTCAGCTATCCCATCCCTCGGAGTGGGCCCAATTAATGAGGCTGTATGCCCTGGGCTTTCTCAGAATCGCTTGTGGCGAAAAAACAAGTCAAGTCAACCTGGCATCGCCTGCATTGGCGTCGACCTCAACAGGAATTGGAAGACGGGCTTCGGAGGTATGGCAATCTGTTCCATCCAGGGCGGGATTTGAGGAGGAGTGGTTGGTCTATCATAGGTTCTCTCATACCACCAGAGTGGGTTGACTCGCAAGTTTGGAGTTACAGCCAACATCATTGGCTAATATATGTGCACCGTGACCAGAATCACGTGAGCGCAAGCTAAGGTTGACTGTAGGTGAGATTGCACATGAATCCATATGCTAAGCCTTTAAGGGGACCCTTAACTATTAAGATGAATGCACACTGTAAGTATCAAATCTTCAACATGGCAGAAAAAGGCTCCAGGAAGCCAGCTCACTCTGGCAGAGTTATACCATCCAATGGCTGGCTTGGCTTGGCAGCTTTCTCTTGAGTCCTCTGATGATCTTTTCTGGTTGTTATTCCCTCACATGTGCCGAAGGCACAGAGACTGGAAACTAAGTCTTCAAGGATGTTCAGAGGGACGGTCAGGATCTCAGCAGAGCAGCAATTGGTGGGATTCCAGGACCAGCCAGGGTAGTCCACAGGGTACACACAGTCCTCAGCCCCAGACGCAGTATCTATACTCCACAGTGGAGACCAGGGGTTGCTCCTCAAGAGAGACCAAGTCCCTGCTGTTAACAAACAGATCCCTAAGTTGGTGGTCAAGCTAATGATAGAATATTCTAGATCTCTAGATCTAGGTGTCTGTGGCTCTGTAAGTCTGGCTTCTTGGAGTTTGTTAGCAGCGAAGACTAAGGAAATTTGTAAAGGGTGGAGAGCAAAGCCCCCAGGTCACATGATGGTGGCTGCCTGAGGATCAGGGCCATGTATGACCACTGTGGCAAGGGATCATGACTATAAAATGAGACCTGTCTGTCTCCAGATTGAGCAGGTTAACCCCGACGGGCAGCCATGGGGCTGTGAATACCTGACAGTATTCACAAATATGGAGGTAGCTCAGTTTAGAGGTAGATTAAATGCTGTCTTAAAGAAAATGACATTTGTGGGCCTCTCTGTAAACAAAAGAAAATAAAAATCTGTAGACATACAATGTAAAACTGTTATGGGGGTGGGGGAGCCCAAAGGGGTGGAAAAGATCCCGTAATCCCAGTACCCAAAGATTAGTGCTTTAATAATTCACTGCGTACTGTCAGAGATTTCCCCCTGCTACAAATTACATTTTTAGAGAAGGAAAAAGAAACAGCTAATGAATCCATTAGCAGATCCTTGTGAGACAGGCAGGCTCACAGGACCTTGACTGTGGGCGTCAGAGAGGCAAGCAGCTAATTCCCATTTGGGCAGGGGAGATTAGTTTATTCTGCTTAGTTCAAACCAGAACTAATGGCCTGAAGTGTTTCTCCATATTTGGGCAAAGCCACCTGGCCGTTGGCAGGGGAACCGCTCTCCCTGCGTGGGCTGCAAACACAGACAAAGCTTTCAGCCTCCCCGGCTCTGCTCATCTGTTGCTATTTGTCATTCATCAAGAGGAGCAGGTGCAGGGGCTCCACAAGACAAAACAAACAGGGCTGCTAGGAGCCCAGCCCGCACCAGCGCGGGCTGCTCTCCCCTTCTAGCCAGGATCCCCAGCCTCAGGCAAGGACCACCCAACCAAGAGGGAAGGTGCTCTTTGTTGACAGAGCAGCCTCTGGGCTGCCTCTGGCCAGGAATAACAAGAGACTTGGGCAGGAAGATTTTGTTTATGCTTTTCATATCGCCTTAGGCAGTCTGGGGACCATCCCTCACCACCACCCTCACTTGAACTGGGGAGGAACAGTTAGCAGTAACCTGCTCTTGGCCCCGGGGGACAAGAAGGCTCTTCTGGTACCTTCTTAAAGCTTCAGAAGTTGGAGGAGATCCCTGGTCTCTGAGAAGGGCTTTGGTGTTGGTTGCAGTCATTTTCTGGAACATAGAAGGGAGACGGAAGTAGAGATTTTTCTTCCATGGGTTGCTAACCCACAAATCTTGACCAGCCCTGTCCAGCACTATAGGACATGGCTCTCGGCAAATGAAATGAGTGGGCAAGACACCCAAGTCCTAGGAGAAGCAGCAAACTCAACATGCCAGAAAATGGAAGCACAGACCTGGGGGTGTGGCTTACCTCCACATGCACACATTCACAGGCACACTCACACACAGGCACACACACACAGGCACACACACAGGCACACACACACAGGCACACTCACAGGCGCATGCACACATGCACACACAGGCACACACGCAGAAACACACTCACAGGCACACACACACAGAAACACACTCACAGGCACACAGGCACACACAGGCACACACTCACAGGCACACAGGCACACACAGGCACACACTCACAGGCACACACTCACAGGCACACACTCACATGTGTGCACTCACAGGCACATGCACACAGACACACACACAGGCACACATTCACATGCACACACAGGCACACACACAGAAACACACTCACAGGCACACACTCACATGCATGCACTCACAGGCACACACTCACAGGCACGCACTCACAGGCACACACAGGGAGGCACACACACACATGCTCAACTCTTTGCTCTTTCCTCCAAGTAGGTTCCCTGAGAAAAATTCTCAGGAGCCTCTCGTGATTCCTCTGTGATTCTCAGGTCAGCCTCAAACAGCACTGGGGATCCATTTTGTCTGTCCCTGGTCCACAAGGCCATGGGGCTTCTACGGGTCAAGCTTCAGCAGATACTGAGCATGAGCCCCTGACTAGCATGAATTCCTCAACAGCCAATCAAAGGGCTGCTGCTCCAGGGGAGGCTGGGATTGGGGCAGAGGGCTGGGGGTTGCTTCAGGGTGCACCTTCCCAGGCAGGTCTGCCTCTCCAATGGACCGTCGTTAGGACTTAGTCCAAAGGGTGAGCCATGGGTGCTCCCTGCAAACCCACGGAGTTGCTGAGTCATGGCTACGTTCTTCATCCCGGTGTAGGAACAACAGTTCCCGATGAAGGAATACAACAGTAACAACACTACTTGATCCAAATTTTATCTTGCACACAAAGTCCTGGGTGGGCAGCAACTCTCATTAGCATGCATCTCTCCTCCAGTGGTGACAGAGGGACCCATCGTGTTGTTTCTGTCCAGGTCTTGCTTCAGTCACACAGAAGAGAATGTGGAGTCACCATTTTCCTTTCTGTCTTTCTCTCTCTTTTGAGCTGGGATCTCTCTGTGTAGCCCTGGCTGTTTTCCAGGATTCACGCTGAAGATCAGGCTGGCCTCGAACTCACAGAGCTCTATCTGCCTCTGCCTCCCACGTGCTGGAATTAAAGCCATATGTTACCAGGGCTGGCCATCTTTTTCCTTAACAGCCTCAAAGCAGAACAGACACATCATTTCTACTTACCTTTTCATTGGCCAGAAGCAGTCACATGATCTCAAACACCTTGCAAAAGGCGCTTGCAAGACAGACATAAGAAAGGTGTTCTGTGAGCACTGCTCTGCCACTCCTGGGTCTTCTGACCCTTTGGGTGGTTTGATTTTACTTTCAGGAAATGGTTCTAACAGAAACCCCTGCTCAGAGACTTATCGAGGGCCCGCACCTCAGTCAGAGCCAGAGGTAGCTGCAATTGTAGAATTCATCACAGGCCATGGGAACTTCAAAGCACTGATCTCCATCCACAGCTACTCTCAGATGGTCATGTATCCTTATGGCTACTCTCTGGAGCCTGTGCCAAACTATGAGGAGCTGGTAAGACTGGCTGTTTAGAGCATGCGAGAGCAGAAGCCTCTCTCTAGGAAAGTCCCTCCCCTGGTGCATCCCTAGGTGGTTCAGACTTTGACTCCCAATACGAGGAGGGTCTGGACCAATGATAGGGAGACCCCAGACTAGGAAGAATCAGTGGAGTTGTTCTCATGTGTGATCAAGTTCAAAGCTGGAGGTATTGCACTAGCGACGCGGGCAACCTCCAGGGCTCCCAAACCCACTTTGCAAGCAGGGGTCAGGGAGCCCCGCCTCTTACTCTCTGGCTGTCATTCGCAGTTCAATCTGGCCAAGGACACAGTGAAGGCTCTGCATAAGGTGCACGGGATCCAGTACACTTTTGGCAGCATCAGTGCCACCCTCTGTGAGTGAGCCACATCTGCCCGGGGGCGGGGCAGGGGCAGCTTGAGCAGTGTCACTCACTGACCAAGCTGGGCTGGGTGGACCATGGCATCCGGGCAGCTGGTTCGTCTGAAGCATCGGTGCACAGATCCTGATAGCTGGCCTGTTACCAAGCCCCCCGAGGGGAAAGGTTCCGGGTCTGTTGGCCTATCTCTGCGAGGGGGGAAAACTGGCTGGGGGTGGGTGGGGTAGGGGCCAGGATGAGGTCTGAATCAGGAAGTCTGATGTGACCGGGTCCAGGTGGGCTGCAGCGTACACTTCCGGCCAGGATTCCTCTGTAGCCTGTGGCCACACCTTCTCCTTCTTTCCTGGGCGCTTTCTGGCCCTTTTCTTTTTAGATGCAGCCAGTGGGATCACGGTGGATTGGGCTTATGACAGTGGCATCAAGTATGCCTTCAGCTTCGAGCTCCGGGACACTGGACAATACGGCTTCCTGCTGCCAGCTTCCCAGATCGTTCCCACAGCCCAGGAGACATGGATGGCGATCCGGACCATCATGAAACACACCCTGAATCACCCCTATTAGCCACATTGCTCGGGCCAGAGCAGTTGGGGTTTACCCCTTTCCCCAAGGCCTGGGACTCCTCTTGAATCCCAAGTTACGCATCCCCTCCCCACACTCTTGTTGAAACCTTTGAAAATAGAAGCGAGTTTGAACAGCCTGTTGCCTCTAGTGTTGGCTGCCACGTCTTTGTGCTCGGTGTCGAGAAGGGACAGAGTCTGCTTAGGCATCCATCATGGCAGCTGGACATGTCTGGAACACTCCTCCGCCACGCCACTACTGTCTTCAGGAAAATACGAGGCCTAACCTCTGCTATGCCCCCTCTCTGCTCCCCATCCCCAGGAACAACCAAAATGTACATTGTCCCAGACACGTTTGACATTTTAATGTCATCCAGAGGGGAACCAGGCTTGATTTAGACAACAAAATTGCCAAAGGTGAAATTTCGTCCCCTTGAGGGAGAAGAATGTCCTTTCCCTGTACCTTCCTCTTCGAGTGGGACAGAGCGGAGGGCACTCAAGGTGCTTTCCCAAAGGGTTGAATCTGAACAAGTCCTTGGGTTGTGACCACCAAGCAGTTACTCTAGGTTAGACTCGTGCTGAGTAGGACTTTCTCTGAGAGAGTGAAGGGACCATCATTTTGAGATCCCAGTGAGGTGTGTTCCCTAGCACCTACCATTGGGGAGCAGGGAGCGAGAGCCTGCTATTATGTTCTAGAAGAAAGAAATCAAATGAGGGCTGGGAATACCTGAGGAAGTCTGAGGCAGAGACATTAGTTTGAGAAGAAGACTTCTGGTTGCGAAGGTCGGGCCCTATGATAATGTGCATGAGTGTGTGAGTGTGTATGTGTGTGTGAATGTGTGTGTGAGTGTGTGTGCATGAGTGTGTGAGTGTGTATGTGTGAGTGTGTGTGCATGAGTGTGTGTATGCATGAGTGTGTGAGTGTGTGGGTATGAGTGTGTGAGTGTGTGTGTGAGTGTGTGGGTATGAGTGTGTGTGAGTGTTGGTATGAGTGTGTGAGTGTGTGGGTATGAGTGTGTGTGAGTGTTGGTATGTGTGTGTGAGTGTGTGTGTGAGTGTCTGGGTATGAGTGTGTGTATGTATGTGAGTGTGTGGGTATGAGTGTGAATGCATGAATGTATGAGTGTGTGAATGTGTGGGTATGAGTGTGTGTGAGTGTGTGGGTATGAGTGTGTGTGAGTGTGTGGGTATGAGTGTGTGTGAGTATGTGGGTATGAGTGTGTGTGAGTGTGTGGGTATGAGTGTGTGTGAGTGTGTGGGTATGAGTGTGTGTGAGTGTGTGGGTATGAGTGTGTGTGTGAATGTGTGGGTATGAGTGTGTGGGTATGAGTGTGTGTGTGTGAGTGTGTGGTTATGAGTGTGTGTGAGTGTGTGGTTATGAGTGTGTGTGTGTGAGTGTGTGGGTATTAGTGTGTGTGAGTGTGTGGGTATGAGTGTGTGTGAGTGTTGGTATGTGTGTGTGTGAGTGTGTGGGTATGAGTGTGTGTATGTGTGAGTGTGTGTGTGTTTATGTATAGGATTTTGGATACCCATAAGCCAGTTCCTGAGCAACAGAGAGAAGGATGAATGCAGAAAGATGTAGGAAGAAGCCCCTTCTGCAGCCTGCAAAAGAGAAACACTTGATGAAAGGACGTGATTTTAGTGAGCAAACTATAGTCACCATTTTGAACATAGACAAGGCCCATATTCACTACGATGCCTAAGCAGTAAATCATGAAGGGGCCTGGGCTGACATTAGAGGCAGCTGTAAGCTGCAGCTGTTCAGAATTCTGAGCAAAAGAAATGAAATGTGTGTGTGTGTATGTGTGTGTGAGTGTATGTGTGTATGTGTACGTGTGGGTATGAGTGTGTGTGTATGTGTATATATATGAGTATGTGTACGTGTGGGTATGAGTGTGTGTGTGTATGTGTATATATATGAGTATGTGTACGTGTGGGTATGAGTGTGTGTGTGTATGTGTATATATATGAGTATGTGTATGTGTGGGTATGAGTGTGTGTGTATGTGTGAATGTGTGTGTATGTGTGAGTGTGTGAATGTGTGAGCATGTGTGTGTATGTGTGAATGTGTGAGTGTATGTGTGTGTGTGAGTGTGTATATATATGAGTATGTGTATGCGTGGGTATGAGTGTGTGTGTGAGGGTATGTATGAGCTCGACTGTGTGTATGTGTGAGTGTGGATTCTGCATGGGAGACACAAGGTCAGGGCTATATAGTCTGTAACATGATGGCACATTGGCCCTAGGAAAGTCAGGCCACTTAACCCTAAAGAAGCTGGATTATCTGCAGGGGAAGAGCTGGCTGTAGGGGAGGACAGAACATTCTGGTTAAAATTTCCACAAGAAACTGAGGTGTTTTTATGTTTAAAGTTGGAAGTGGTTTAATCAAGCTGGAATTTCCAACCTGAAGTTTTCTGTTAGTGGAAATACAGGGTCATGGGCTATGTTAGTATAAGCTATAGATAAATAAAATGAGCTCTAATCCTGCACACTGAAGCATGGTTATAACTTTTATGCCCTCTACACAAATATTTTCATTTTATCCTCATGGGAGGGTACATTACTGGTATTAATAAACTCATTTTTAAATAAAAAAAATTTTGAGGCAGAATCTCACACACTGTAGTTCAAGGTGGCCTGGAACTCATCAGTGTGGTCCTGACTGGCCTTGAACTAATGGCAATCCTCCTGCCTCAGCCCCTTGTGAACTGTCACACCTGGCTCAACGAGCTCATTTTTAAGATGAGGGAAGCTGTTTCAGAGCATCTGAAAATCCACACAAGGCCATACAGAACTTGGTTTATGTAAGTCTGAAACTCATGACACCCTTTGTTCAGGTGGACCACCTCTAACAGAGTCTGTGGAGACTTGTTTATCATGCAGGTATTAGGATTTCATCTTCACAATTAACCCGAGTTTCTGGGGTGGAGCAGGTAATGAGTATGAGCTGGAGCAGCGTTGTCCTGGAGGGAGAAGGACTGGGCTGATAAGTGTTTTAGTAATGTGGTCTTAAGTTCTTTCCTTGGACCTACTATGTGTCAAGCACAGTTCCTAATGCATTATGGGAATCAACACATTGCTTCCTCTTAGGTATTTTAGGCAGAACTGTTCATGACCTTATTTTTGATGAGAAGACTCAGATTGAGAGATAACAGCACATACTGCAGCGTGTGACTGGCCCTTAGGATCCATAATTCCTCATGTGCCACCAACCTGAAGCTGCCTCACACTCTGTCTCCCAGAAGAAGACATCAGGAGCCTGTTGTCACAACCAGGTTGGCAGAAGGAACCCCACAGAAACTGTGAATGATGGATAGAGCTGGTCTTTTATTGTTTGTTGTTTTCTGAGACTGGGTCTCACTATGCTGCTCTGGCTGCCTTGGGACTCACTGTGTAGACCAGGTCGGTCTCAAATTTGTTGCTGGGGTTTCTTTTCCTGCCAGGTACCACCAACCTTCAGCCCCAAATAAACACACAGATGCTATTATCAATTATAAAAGTGTTGGCTGATGGTTAGGGCTTCTTACTGGCTAGTTCTGTCTTAATTATTAACCCATAACTACTAATCAATGTATTTCTACATGGCCTTATCTTACAAGAGAAGGCCTGGCGTGCTATCTTTCCAGTCTCTACATGCAACTACCTCTGCCTACCGTTCCCAGAACTCTCCTTGTCTCCTAACCCCACCTATCTTCCTGCCTCTATTGGCCAAACTGTTTTATTCATCAACCAATAAGAGAAACATCCCCCATCAGGAACTTACAGAGATCAGCTTGCCTCTGTCTTCGGGCTTGTATGGATGTGGCCTTCAATGGCCTCATTCTCAAAAAAAGAAAACAAAACAAAAAAACCACCAGCCAACCCAAAACAACCAACCAACCCAAAACAACAACAGACAATGCTTAAAAAACCCCACCCTCTCAGCTGTCCCTTACAGCTCCCCCAGATCTCCCACGGGGACCTCTTCACGTGCTGCTTCTCCTCTCTGGAATGTAGTTTCGCCCACTCCTCTCCTTCAACATTTCCTTAGAGCCTTTGCTCTAGGACTATCCATTGGCCATAGATCATGTCTCCCATAGTTGTCCTTTCCAAGGCCTCATTTATCTCCTTGGAAGCAATGATCATTAGCAACTAATTGATTTTGTTTCCTTGTTCATCCTGGCTGGTCTCTGAGAACCATTAGGGCAGGCACTGCGTCTGGGATGTTTGCTCTCTCAGCTCCAGGTAGCACCAGGCCTACGAAAGACACTTGAGATGTGTGGAAGGGCCGTCTCTCCTCCTCAGCCTCACCTCCATCAGTGTTGCTGTGTGTGGAGTGTGACAGAACTCACTTTACATGGCCAAAATGGGCGTGGCTGATCCAGCAGATGCCGTCTGGGGCTGTCTCAGTGATTGTTTGTTGTTTGTTTGTTTTTTTTAAAGACAGAGTTTCTCTAAATAACAACCCTGGCTGTCCTGGAACTCTCTCTCTAGAGCAGGCTGGCCTGGAACTCACAGAGATCCTCCTGCCTCTGAGTACTGGGATTAAAGGTGTGTGCTACTAGCCACCTGGCCAGTGTTTGTTTTTGATGCATTGGGGACCTAGACCTTTCTGATCTGTCTTGTCATTTGAGAGACAGTGGGGACACAGCTAGAGAAGTGTGCCATTGTCAGTGCGTGGTTACACACTGTACAGATGCTTTAGGCCACTGCACACCCAGGTTTCATGGTATAGGCACGTGGCAGGGCCTGTCCTCTCCATCCATCCACAATGAAGAGAGAAGTGAGATGAACACACATAAGATGTTGTCTTGGGATGCTGTTCAGTAGGAAAGTTTGCTTTGCATGTTCAAGGTTCAGTCTTCCAGAAACCAACATTCACCAAACCCCAGATACATATGGTTGTCTCTGGAGCAACCTGTCCAATGCTAAATTCTAGATTTTTTAAAATCAAGAGACAGGACTGGATTAGCTTCCTTGTTACTGTGATAAGATATCACAATTAAAGACAATTCATGGAAGAGTTTATCTGAGCTCGCAGTCCCAGGGGAAGACTCCAGAATGGAGGTGAGGCATGGCATCAAGAAGCTGGAGCAGGAAACCAGACCCATTATATCTTCAACTGCAAAACAAACCAGGGAGAAGGAGCTGGAAATGGAGAGAGGTTCTTAAAGCCCACCCTCAGTGATGTAGGTTCTCCAGCAAGGCTCCATCTCCCAGAGGTCCACACCCTCCTAGACTACCACCAACTAGGTGACCACATGTTCAAGTATATGAGCCTAAGGGGGACTTTTCTCGTTCAAGCTACCACAAGCATATTCCAAAATGACAATAAAAAAGCATATGCTGGTACACATGGAAACCAGGGACACAGCTGTTTGCGCAAGTATTATATGGTGAATGGAACAGTCTGTAGTACATTTTGGTACACCTGGCAGCATAACGATTTGCTTAGGCCAGTGTCCCCACAAATGCAAGAGTGATGTGTTATATGTATTCCAGACTCTGTGGTGGCTACAGTGACATTAGATGACTGGGAATTTTCATCTCCAGTATCGCCGTGTGAAAATTATCATCTCCAGTATCCCCATGTGGAAATTTTCATCTCCAGTATCGCCGTGTGGGAAGACCACTGTCAGTGGTTTTACGAGGAGCGTGGTTGGATGTTGACCTCTGTTTCCCAGATGGTGCCATCACCCCTAACATAGATCTGAATTCCAGGCAGGAAGAAGAGGGGGTGAGAGAGTGAGCTACTACGTCATCTGTCCATAGGCTCACATTCCCGTCTTATGGCTTGGAGCAGTGCCATGCGGCGCCGCCCAGCTACAAGGGAGGCTGGGAACTTGCTCTGCAGCTGGTCACACCACTGCTTCAAATAAAAGCAGAGTTCTGATAAGGAGGAAGGAAGAACGGATATTGAAAAGACACCCAATGGAGCCTGTGACAGCATCTGGGGGGGGGGGAGGCGTGGGAAGGACCTCAGAGCAAGTTTCTTGTTCTAGTTAGCTGAAAAGCCATAGAAGTTCCCAGATGTTCTAACCATCCCCCTTCATCCTGAAATCATAAAGCCTGGGGCTTCTGCATCCTGAGATTTGCACAAGGCTCAAGTGACCCTCGTGGCCCAGAGACTACTAACTCTAGGAGATGGTGTAGTCTCAGCTGCTTTGTCTAGGACTGAGGGACCACCACCAGATCCCAGCAAGCTCAGGGAGGCAATGACCAGGGTTTAAATGCATTGACCAAGAGTTTAAGATGCAGATACTCCGGTGCTAGAAAAATTATTTTAAGATTTCTCTTTTTCGTAAACCTGTAACGTCCCCCCTTCCATTTTCTTGAATATGTAAAGCTGAACAGAACCTTAGTTTTCCAACATCTTCCCCTCTTTCATCCTTTTTCCAACAAGCTGTTCTTTTTTAATGTTTTTTCATCCTTTTCACCTGTAAAATTTATGAGCATTTATTTGAAAGTGTAAAAAATCTGAAGGAGAAAGAGCGATTATACATATGGAAAACCATAAGAACCACAGTGAATGTGCACAGTTATTGCTTTCTTAAGAAAACAAACCAGCCCGCCAGTTTGGAATGTGAGCGGCTCGTGTGAGGCCGGCCAGGGCAGAGGCCCAGGGTGAAGGGCCAATGCTCCATTCTGCTGTTTCATTCCCCACACCTCCTCTCCCTCCGCCCATTCCAAGGAGACAGGAACACACAGAAAACGACTACAGCAAAAAAACTAAGATTTAAAATACCCCTTTAGGAAAGCAAGAAGACGGGGCCATCAGCGGGTGCAGGCGGCAACACAGTCCAAGGAACACCAGGCCTCCAAGTGCTTCCAAGCTGGCCTGGAGGGACCAGCAGGAAAAACCAGGGGGCCTGCTACGGAACAGGAAGAGAGGCCAGCCACAGGCAGGCCAGACCACACGGAGCCATGGAACATGGTACCAATGTCCAAAAATTGTCTCAAGTCTGAGAACCAGAGAGGCAGACAGCTGTCCAGATTTGTCCTTTAGTGCCCCTCTCCCCATTTTACCAGAAGAGTTTTATCTGTCATCACGTCCTTCTACTCCCAGCGTTGTCCCAGGCACGCTGGGACAAGGGTTGAGGTGGTGCCACCAGCTCTCCTGGCTTCCCATGGACGCCTGGTGAGTGCCACACTGCCAGCTTCCTTTGGCCTCCTACCCCCATGAGCTGACTGCATTAGGCCCCATCTTCAGCATGAGACACAGACTAATAGTGGGCAACTCCAACCTACTTAGCCCTCCAGTTAGTATTAGCCACAATACTTAGAAATAACGACATAGCCTCGAAACACTTGGGTTGGACCAGCGTCTTACTCGATTCTTGCCCTGGTCTGTCACTGGCCTCCTGCTCTGCGCATAGGCTAAGCTCTGTGGCTCTCATCCCTTCCCCACCCCCCAGCCCATCTCCCTTGACTTCCTGAAGCGGAGGGAAGACCACAGGGGAAATGTCCATAAAACTGCACTTGGGATGCAAAAGGGAAATACACTATAGGAAACAGGAAAGCCGGATGCGGTGTTGACGTCCGTGTCCTTCACGAGGAAACACATTAAGTCTGCTCTCTTTGAGCGTCTGTTGCTGGGGACAAGAGTCCCTGACCTCTCTTAGACTCAGCAGAAGCACTCTGTCCCCCAACTTTTCATGGAAATGCATCTCTGCAAAAATCTGGGTTTTGATGTGACAGTCCCTAAAGATCCTTGACAGAATGTCTCTCTTCAGAGGCCCTTACTCCAGACATAAGTTCTGCCCTCACTGCTGGAAACATAGGCCACCGGCCAATGTACAGGGACAACGTGGCATCTTGAAACTAACAGATGGGCTTTTTGGAGCAGTTATGAGACAAAACTGAGAGAGGATGTGGATGGGACCTTGTTACCCCAAACTCCCATACAAGCTCTGGCCTGGTGACTTTGCCACACCAAAACCACAGCAAAATGTGGCTGCCCCAGGCTGCACCGCCCTGGCCACCACACTGCCAGCCCGTTACCCTCAGAGGCTTCTGACTGACTGTCTCACAGACCTCACAAAGCTCTCTTTGCCCTTCCTAGGCATGCTTCCATGGCTTGCTTTTAAAGTAAAAAAGAAACCCGAGTGTCCTGGAGTTTTAACTTGTCACAGTTGGAAGGTCCACAGAGATCAACATGGTTATCTACACAGTGGGCGACCCTTCTCCTCCCATTTTGTCCTCTTCTGAAGTTAGAGAATGTCTTTGTAATATCTTTTTTCCCCACATGTAGCAGAAAAGCAACTTAAAGCTGGAATGGAAAAAAAAAGTGTGGAATTTGTTGGCACTCCCTGGAACTAGGCCCACCTGAGCCATGACGTTTGAGTGAGGAATGAGAATGAAATAGATTAAAAATAACAACAAAGTGATCCTCCTAATGAACAAACCTGAAAGTATGCTCTAGCTCCACGTGCACAAACATAGGACCAAATCAACCCAGCGATGTGCCCCATTATGTGCACAGGTGCTGAGGCAGAACGGTTCTGCATCTTACTGGCGTCTGTAAGCAACCATCACCTGCCCATCACAAGCCATAAGACACAGACAGAAAAATAACTTATTTACACAAAATAGCACCACCTAGGAACTTACCAACTTACATTGGGAACATTTGGCCTCACGGGCATTTCAAAGCTATCAAAAACAAATAAAACCCCCCAAAACAAAAAACCACAACCCAAACTAAACCAAACAGCTTCTCAAACAACAGTGATGAACACAGTGCCTTCACCTGGCTCATACAGAAAGAGGGTACCAAACACTGGATGGGGCAGAGTGGTACCCATGGCCAGTATATGATCATCACGTACACGTGTTAGGTATGGGCAGGAAACAAACTGCTGAGTCTCCTCCTGGATTTTCTGGTCAGCATGATCTCCCCTCTTGACACCGCCAACTGCCATTCTGTCATCCGGACTTTCAGGTTAGAGCCAGCTCAGGACCTCAATCCAGCTTAGCGCTCGGCAGCCCTGTGCCAGAACGGCTCTGTAACAGGGTTAGCTATATCCATATCTTATCTCACCACCTGCATCCGATCCTGCCTTTACTAAGGTCCCTCTGGGCCCAGAATCCGCTTTAACTCTTTGGGGGAATCTCTCTGGTATAGTGTGGGGTGTAATGTGTGATCACAGAGCTAATATCGGCAATCGGGAAGAACCTGTGTTTGTCAATGGCCGTGAGTATCGAGTGAAAGCCATAGTTGGTGGATTGAAGCCAATGAAATCGATGTAACTCATGCATTTACTGTTATCCAGTAAATCCTAACCCTGTGGAAAAACACAAATGTGTCTGTTCTTGCTTCTGACGTTGCGCACTAACCATAAGGCATCTGGGGCTGTGGGAAGCCAGACGAGCAGCCGCAGCTGGGAGACCTCCAGCCCAGCTGACCCTCATGGTCAAGGGTGGAAGCCTAGCTTATCTCTTCACCTGTCTTGTTTCCTGCCACTTTATTTGGAAGGGCGAGAAAGTGCCTCAGTTAGGAACTTTCACCTCCCTCCCCGTGGGACTGGATCCAGGTGTGAGGGGAACAGTCCCCAGGGACCTGTAAGGGTTTAAAAGGCCTCAGGCCTCAGTTTGGACCTCAGTCCGACCTTCCCAACATGCGGAGGCTGCTGATTTTGAGTGTGCTGCTGCAGGCAGTCCTTGGCAATGAGAACTTTGTGGGGTATGGGTATGGAGAGGAGGGGGGTGTCCTAAAGGGTGGTGAAAGGGATCTCCCCAGGTCACCACCCTGGGACAGCAGCCTGGTGGGGAGGGCATGGCTTGGAAGGGCCCAGAAGAGACTGGGAGAGTTGAGCTCTGAGAAAGAAGTTTTAGGAGAAAGGAGGGTCTGGTCAGCTTGGAGATAAACCAGTCTAAATTGTGATGGGGGCAGCACAACAGTGTAGAACTTTCCAAAAACAGGGAGAGAAGGGGTGAGGAAGTTCAGACCTCCCATTGCTCAGACCCCCCCTTGTGACTCTATGGGCCTGGGCTGGGAAACGTTGGGGTGCCTCAAGTTCTCAGGGCCCCTCCCGCTCTGCCCAGGCATCAGGTTCTCCGAATTTCTGCAGCCGATGAAGCCCAGGTGCAGAAAGTGAAGGAGCTGGAGTTTCTGGAGCATTTGAAGGTTAGAGACGCGGTGCAGGCCTCCCTGGAGACCCACAGGACACCTCAGGTCCCCACTGCTTCCTGTAACCATTTAGTTAGACCCTGGGCTCCGGCCTGGCCTCCCAGCAAAGAGCCGCAAGGCTGCTCTATTGAGAAATGACTTCAGACTCCAGATTCAGATCTTGGTGCCCTTGAGAATCCACTGGCATGCCAGGACCCCTTTCCCACTTCCTCTGTCTGGCTCGTTCCCTCAAAGCCTCTCCATTCTGGCCATTTCCTGACCACACTGGACTCTGTCCAGTTCCCAAGCTTCTCCACTCTTTCTGCTCCCAGCATGCCGGCATCACCCCCAGCTATGTGGGAGCTTCTAGTGCCAATGCCCCTCCCCGGCTCTCCCATTCTTATGCCCTGGTTGGTGCCACCAGCCCACTGTAACAGTGCCGGCTCCTGTCCTTCCTAGTTGGACTTCTGGCGGGACCCCGTCCGGCCTGGCCTCCCCATCGATGTCCGAGTGCCCTTCTCCAGCATCCAGGCTGTCAAAGTCTTCTTGGAATCTCAAGGCATTAGCTATGACATCATGATTGAAGATGTTCAGTCACTGCTGGATGAGGAACAGGAGCAGATGTCCAACTTCCAAGCCCGGGCCTTGTCCACTGACACCTTCAACTACGCCACCTATCACACCCTGGATGAGGTGAGGACAGCCCTGGAAGATTCTGTCCATAGCACCATACTTTTCTTCATGGTTGGCAGAACGCAGGCCAGGGCCAAGGCTGGCCTGGCTGTGGGTAACCTCTGCTGCTTCTCGTGGCCTCTGTGGCCAGTCGTGACAACACAGCAGCGCTCCAGGGCGGCTGAGGGAGGCATCTGGGTTCCCAGAAGTCATTAAGCCCCCTGCCCCCCTCTCCTTTTCTTCTTTCCCATCTCAGATCTATGAATTCATAGACCTGCTGGTGGCTGAGAACCCACAGCTTGTAAGCAAGATCCAGATTGGCAACACTTTTGAAGGCCGCCCCATTTACGTGCTGAAGGTAATAGAAGCCCACAGGTTGACAAGGGCACACATGCAAAAATGGGCCCCATGTAAGGGTGTGGATTATGCATCTTGTAGATGCGTAATGGAATGCACTGTTCAGATTCGTGGGAAGGTCTGAGCATCCACACTGACCTAGGTGGCTATATGCATGAATACAAGGTTCGAGGTGACCCAAGTGTAGTGGCGTCTTGCATAGGGGCCATGCTAATCTTCTCTGTATCGTTCCAGATTTAGTATATGTGCTGCCCACGATACGGAGAAGATTAGCATGGTCCCTGCGAAGATGCCACTACACCCAAGGGTTATCAATCAAGTTATAGAGTACTGACATCCAGAGAGAATGTCTTTCTGGTGCCCTCCCACAGTAGGCTATCCAAGCATCAGAACAGGGCCAGGGGCTGGAAGTCAGGAACCTGAGCTCTGCAGGATCCCTGTATTGACCATGATCCCATAACTCCACAAAGGATGGTCCCCAAAGCAGCCTTCCTCGACCTTAGGTATATAGAGAGCTGGTGGCTTTGGGCCATGGTGGAGGGAATGCACTGAGGTCTGGATAGAGTTGTCCTTTACCCATCTCCCTGCCTCTTCTTCAGTTCAGCACTGGAGGGACCAACCGCCCAGCCATCTGGATTGATACTGGCATCCATTCCCGAGAATGGGTCACCCAGGCCAGTGGGGTCTGGTTTGCAAAAAAGGTAAAGGTGGGGAATGAGGAAGGCTCTTGCTTGCTGGGGGGCTGGTGTTCACAGACCATGGGAGGCTGGATCTCCCCTTTTCAGAAGCAATGGCCACAAAGGAGGCCAGGGAATACGTCTGTGGAACTAACACGACCAACATTCTACCTTATCTTCTTCCACTCCCCAGATCACTAAAGACTACGGCCAGGACCCAGCTTTCACGGCCATTCTTGACAACCTGGACATCTTCCTGGAGATTGTCACCAACCCTGATGGTTTTGCCTACACCCACAAAACGGTACAGACCACCTCTTGCTCCTCAGCCCAGGACAGCAGGATGTACCTTTGAGCCCCTTAAGTAACACACACCCCCCCCACCAATGGAAGAAGGGACAAGCAGGCTGTCCTCAGGAGACTTTGGGAAAAGATTGGCACCGGGAACAGTGGTAGGCTCTTAGCCCTTAATCAGCTATTAAGGTGCTGACTGCCATCTTAGATTGATGATTCTTTGCTGTTGGGGGACTATCTGTGCATGGTGGGTATTGAATAGCCTCTTCGCCTACCCACTAGATTCCAATAGCAACTCCTCATTCAGTCATAATAACACAAAACACCTCTAGACACTATATATAAAATGTCCTGGGGGAAGCCAATGCTGTCCTTGGCTGAGACCCTTGCCCCAGCCCCGATCCCAATTTCCACAGCAGTTTTTACTCTATGGCAAATGTCACAGTTTGTGGTGTAGATGTGCTCGTTCCTGGCTGATCCTCTCTCCTTTCTCAGAATCGCATGTGGCGCAAGACTCGATCACGCACACAGGGCTCCCTCTGCGTTGGGGCAGACCCCAACAGGAACTGGGATGCTGGCTTTGGGCGTAAGATTTCCTATGGGGCAGGGATAGGACAACATGGCTTCTTGCCCTCCCTTTTCTGGTTCCCTGCCCCTTTCTTGACCCAGCAATGAGGAAGAGTGTGGGCTTTTCGCTCTGCCTGAGGGTTCTCTGGGTTGGAGGTGGCACTCAGGGACTTGGGCCCTTGTTTGTAGGAAGGAAGTTCCTTCTAGATGGAGTTTGGGTCTGAGAGCGTCTCTGTAGATGTCTAACTTAGTATCAACTCTTGCCCTCCTTGGCCATGCCCCTGTGTAAACTGGTTTCTGCTCTACCCAAACCTGGCTGGTAAAGGAGGCGGGGCTCCAGATGACGTGGTGGCTGGCTGCTCCTTAAGGCAGGGGAAGCCGTGGAGCTGTGGCAGCCATGCTACTTGAGTTAATAGCCTTGTCCTCTGCCTTCCCACAGTGGCCGGAGCTAGTAGCAACCCCTGCTCGGATACTTACCATGGCAAGTCTGCCAACTCGGAAGTGGAGGTCAAGTCCATTGTGGACTTTGTGACGAACCATGGAAACATCAAGGCCTTCATCTCCATCCACAGCTACTCCCAGCTCCTTCTCTATCCCTATGGCTACACATCAGTGCCAGCCCCTGACAAGGAGGAGCTGGTAGGTGATGGCCCCAATTGCTCTTTGCTCAGGCTTCTTCTGTGTCCGCACATCAGCAGCCTGGGGTTGGCCCCTCTGAGCTGATTAAGGGCTAAGAGCTACCACTGTCCCCGGTGCCAACCTCTCCCCACGGTCTCCTGATGATTTGGGAAGTCTGGCAGGAAGATTTCTGTTGACCAGGAAGGTCATTCGCTGGGAAATGAAGCATAGTGTGGTTGAGTCACATCTGTCACATGACAGAGCAAGAGGCAAGGCTAGACTCTGAATTTGTGGACTCCCCTGGAAGGAAGGGACGTACCAGCCAGCCATCCTGTGGAGATGGAGGGATCATGTTGCCTCCTATTCTAAGGCTGACCTGAAGGGTGGGCTCCATGTCCTCTGCCACCTCATGTGGGTGCCCACTCCTGGGTCACCCTGACAGTGCTGGGGCTACCCTGGTCCTGACGGAAGCACCCACTGGATCTTTTCTCCAGGATCAGCTCGCTAAGTCTGCTGTGACGGCCTTGACATCTCTGTACGGGACCAAGTACACATACGGCAGTATCATCGATACAATCTGTAAGTTACTGGTGGCCCAGAAACCGGCCTTAGCTGGCTCTTCTTGCTCAGGTGCTCAGGTCTGGGCAGTGTCTTCTCCTGACATGAGTCCTGTCTTTCCTGACACAGCTTAGAAGGCTCCTGAGCACATCTGTCCTCTTATCTTGAGGTTACATCTGGTTCCCTGCACAGATGAGGTGGAACCCTGACGGGATTTACAGATCACCATAAATCCTGTTTCTATCTGCCCCCTTCCTTACACGACACATGGGGGAGATGCCCCTGGGAGAATCGTTGCTACGCGCCTGTGGGATACCGCCGGCACGCAGCACCGGCTCTGCGCGAGGCCTTGCCTTGTGTGCATGAGGAGAGCCGTGAATAAAAGGAGCAAATACATTCTAGGCAGGAAGACTGGCTGGGTGCTTAGAAACCACAGTGGATTAGGTGAGACATGGAGGAGGGAAATGACAGAGCCGCCGGGGCATCAGGAGTACTAGGGTGGAGGCTGAATACCAGGGTAAGAGGCAGGCTTGCAGACGGAGAGGAATCTGGGCTAGTGGTGAAGGACATGAAGGGAAGCCAGGAAAGGCCATCTGTCTAGGTAACAGGCCTCCAGGCAGAAGAACTTTCTAGAGTAAAGGCTTTGCTATGTGATGTGGTATGGGGTGTTTGAGGAACTTTTTGCCTGGCAGACAAAAGCAGGACACAGGTGCTGGGGGAGGGGAGCCAGCTCACAGGCTTCCTTCCCAGCAGGCCCAGGGTTTAGGTGGGGAGTAGGCTGCAGTCTTAACCATGGCAGAACTTGTTTGGAATCCCAGGCTTTCTTTGGAAATGGTTTCCAAGCTGTGTCCAATGATTTTACTGCATTTAGTATACTGGACTGAGATTCTAATGTGGAACCCACCTCCCTTTCCCACTGCCCAGGTCAACAGAAAGCAGCTCTGTGAGATACTATATACTGCAGACTCATGAGATTTTTCCCTCTAGGAGAAAGCCAGACAAGAGGCTTTGCCGTGACCAGGAATCTTTGCACTTTCCTTTGCAGACCAGAGTCCCTGGAGAGTGATTTTTGTTACCTAAGCTTGGGGCTCTGGCATATTTAGAGGTGTCTGTAGGGTGGAGACAGTTTTCAGAGGGGCTTTTGCAATCACACAGACTTTTGGCATCCCACTAATGAATAGGACAACCCCTGCCGGTTATTGGTCTCTTGGGTTTGGAGGCAGCAGGAGTTCCCTGGAAGCCCCACTGTGTGTCAATAGAAGCCCCCAGAAGACATACTCTATTTGGCATTACACAAGGCTTGGGCTTTGGGTGCTAACTCAGTCCATGTAGACATTTGCAGTGATCAACCCTTACACTCACCTCTTGTCTTTGTTCCTGCCCCAGATCAAGCCAGTGGGAACACTGTCGACTGGACCTACAGCCAGGGCATCAAGTATTCTTTTACTTTTGAGCTTCGGGACACGGGGCTCAGAGGCTTTTTGCTGCCTGCCTCTCAGATCATCCCCACAGCAGAGGAGACGTGGCTGGCCCTTCTAACCATCATGGACCACACCTTCAAACACCCCTACTAAAGCAGCCCTCTAGTCCCTGCCTTTCCCTTCTCCCTAGCCCCATCCGGGCAACCTAATAAAGTTTGATTGTACAAGAAGGAGAACCGTAGGGTTTGTGTGTGGATGCACGTGGAGGGCTCACTTTTTTAGCCGAGGCAGAAGTGGTTTAGTCCCTGCAGGTCTCAATGGAAACGTGTAGATGACCCCTCAATTTTCCTGCATTCCAGGGTCCCATGAAGTTGTGTCCAAGAGGCAGTGTGGTGGTTTGTTCATATCTTAGTAGCAGGCAACAGCTGTTAGCCAAATGCCTGGCACCCCATGGTGAGGAGGAATTCAGCATGTGCGGCAGTCTAGCTCATGGTATCCATTCATCTTTAGAGGCAGTAACCTGGAGTATGGAATAAAATAACCCCAGTGGCCGCTGCTGTCCAAAGGTGATGCTGCAGGAGAGTCAGACAGATTACTATAGGCGAAATGTGGCCTCCCAATACAGCATTACATTGGAAGAGAACATTGAGGTGAAACGAAACTATTTACTGAATAAAGACTCAAGCAGTCAGGACACTTATTAATTGTAGAGTATTGAGGACATGTTGCCTCGAAGGGTAGAAACAGCTTACAGTTCTCCAAATCCTCCATGAGGTCCCTGTGCATCACGTCTGCTGCCTCTTGTTTCTCTCCCCCACCTTCCCATTCTCCTGTCCTACAGCTCTCCAAAAAGCTGACCTCCCTTGGCACGGTGGCCCTCAGGCCTGCGACAACACATTTACCAGCTAACATCACAACATAGTCACCTACCTTCTTTAAGGCAAGAATTGACCTAGGTTTCCTCTTAGGTGGGAACGTGGAGTTGGGGGACGCTGACACAGAAGGGTGTAGGTGATGTAGGTAGATAGCAAGCTGTCCCTCTTTCTGTCACTTAGATTTCCAACAGCTTCCAGCAGCAGAGTTAGGTCTTGTCTTTTCCACAGAAAATGGCTTGAAGGTCAAAAAGCTTTTCATCTTAGGAGTTCTATTTTAATACTGTTTTCCTACCAAATACTCTAAAAATCAGGACGAGGCTGATTACACATAAATGTCTGCATACTAAGATTGGGAGACAAGGTGAGGAGGTTTCCCCAGCCAGGCATGGTGGTGCAGCCCTGCAACTCTAGCAGGAGGGAGGTAGAGGCAGGAGGATTTGAGTTTGGACCCAGCATCAGGCTACTTAGAAAGACCCTTTCTCAAACAACAACAAAAAGGTATTTTAGGCTGAAGATTTGGTAAGATTCCCTTATCTTTTGGAAAATATTGCCTTTCAAGCCACATGACAGGAGACTGTAGAAAAGGCAAAGCTGCCTTGTAAATGCTAAGTTGGCCACCAGCTTAATAAAGACTGGTAAGAAAAAAATCTTAGGCTAGTATGATAGTATGATGACACTATTGTACAAATAACAGATGGCAGAACTCCTTAATTTAAAATAAACTGTGCTCTCCCTGGTAGCAAGGCCCACTTTGGCATTCCACCTCACACACTCACATACATACACACACAGAGAGAGAGAGAGAGAGACAGACAGAGAGAGAGAGAGAGAGAGAGAGAGAGAGAGAGAGAGAGAGAGAGAGAGAGAGAGAGAGAGAGAGAGAGACGGAGGAGGAGGAGGAAAGGGGACAAACAGACGCTACCTCTGTGTAGTCCTGGCTGGTCTGGAACTCACTGTGTAGACAAGCCTGGCCTTGAACTCAGAGATTCTCCTGCCTCTGCCTCATGAATGCTGGTATTGAAAGCATGCACCACCATGCCTGGCTTGAATCAATATATTTTATGATGTGTCATTTAGGCTTGTTAAAATATCCATGTGCAAATTATTATAAATTCTCAGAATTGTCTCAAAAAAAAAAAGAGTAAGGGATGGAGCACTATGAATTCCATGGGGCAGAGGCTACACTGGATTGTTTCATTTAACCTCAGTGCTTGGCCAAGTACATGACATTTAGTGATATTTATATTAACAGCAATTTTGGTAATAAGTGTATATTAGAAATATGGAACTTTCTTGTTGTTTTTTGAGACAGGGTTTCTCTGTGTAGCCCTGGCTGTCCTGGAATTTGCTTTGTAGGTCATGCTGGCCTTGAACTCACAGAGATCCACTTGCCTCTGCCTCCTGAGTGCTTGGATTAAAAGCATGTGCCACCACCACCGGGCACTATTAACACTTAAAAGATACCTCAGTTGTGAGATTTGAAGCGTTACAAATCCATAGGGTACAAATCGTATACATTTGTAACGCTAAAAGACAACAATTTTAGAAAGTACTACAACTTAAATGAAAATAAGTATTAATAACCTTCAGGGGTAAAAGTAAATTAAAAAGACTGAAGGAAAAGAAGAAAGATTTCAAAAAGAAAAGCAGCTATATCCTAAAAGAGATTAAAAAAAACCCAATAAAACATGAAAGACACTGATCCTTGGTGGATTCTTGTAAATTAAAGGAAAACATATTTCTTTCATCAGATTGCTGGACAATGAAGGCCTGGCCACACAGCGTTATCAAGGGCATGAAGAGATAAACACAGCCTTGTGCTGCTGGAGGAAGAGAGCTGTCTGTACATTTGGCAATTTGACTTTTAAAATTAAACACAGTACCTCTTTGACTCAGCAAATCCATTTGAAGGAATTTATGAAAATATTTGGACTGTGTTGCAAGATTGGAACAGCAAAGGAGCCAAGTGCGTCAAAAGGAGCCTTCATAATGATCAGTATTGGTACTTGTGGGACATGGCCACACGGCAGGATACCAGAAGACCATACACGTCTGTGTTCACAGTACATAAGTGAAACAAGTTGGCCACAAGATGGAAATATTTAAAACTGGATTGTGTTGATGGTTTAACAGTTCTGTAAATTTACTAAAATCGTGGCATTCTTCAAATAGCTGAGTTGCAGGGTACATGATTTATATACCAAGAGTTGTTTCTGTAAAAAGTTAGCTACAAAATGTTATATCATCTTGTCTAACACACACACACACACACACACACACACACACACACACACACACAACCAGAGGACACACTGGGTAACAACTGTGCTGCCCTGGGTAGAGGTGGTGGTTTTTCTCTTTATTGTTTCCAGTTTCTTGCAATAGGCTTTCACAGCCAGCTTTGGGGTGGGGGGGGAAGGGTTTATCTGAAGGACACCAGGTGACAAACCTCTGTATAAGTTACTTAACACCAACTTACCAACATCAAACATGGGAATGGTCACCTTAGTCTTTGTTCAGCTCCTTTTAGATAGTTTGTAAACTCCAACCCTCTGGGTCAGAACCTCATTTCACTAATTTTCCCTGGTTTATATTTAGAAAGATTTATATTACAGATAGCTGTGTTACTAACAAGGCCGGGACTACACAGGTTCCCAGTTGGGACATACTTTAAGTCCTCTGCTGTAGCTCTGGTGGAGACTCCCAAGAGCCCTTTCTGCTCACATTCAGCTCCTAATGCAATCTTGGCAATATATTATGCTAATGTGGAGTCTCCAGGGCCCCTCTTAGGGCTTTATTTCAAGTGAATTCATTTCATGTCTTTCTTAGGCTATTATAGGTGGTTCTCGGTGAAGCCCAGGGGCCATCACTTCTCCAGGAGAAGTCTTCAGGTAGTCTCTTGAAATAACACTCAGATAGGGGTGTTTAGCTTTCTGGCTTTGGCCTGAAGCTGAAGTGTTATTGAATACAGTCCAGATATGACTTCACCCATCCCTCACTAGTGCAGAGCTATTCGTCATTTGGCAATTGTTCTGCAAGGGCAAGAGGGACTAGGTGGATTGGAAGGTGCACAGGGGCTCCTGCTCAAAGGACTAGGGAAACATCATTTTGTGAGCATGCTAAGCCCCAGATGTTGCCTGGAGGAACTTGAGATGAACAGCCATAATGTTTGCAGTGTCCGGGCCAAGAAGAGCTCTGGGAAAAGCACAGAGCACCATCAAACCTGGGAACCCGTCAAAGGGTAATGAATTCTTCCCTGAAGCTTTCAGGATCCGCATTCATTTGGCAATTCAAACTGTGAGCATCATCTAAAAACCCCAGAGATGGAGACAGCCAAGTGTTTATTGCCAAAGTAAAAGGAGAAAATTAAAAGTCCCTCTTAAGCACAGCCACAATGCCAGCTGCAGCTTGAGAAGCACACGATGAAGTAAGGCTTCTGCCGACATGGGCTGCAGCAAGAAGCTGTGCCTCGGTTTCCCCATGAAACACAGGCCCGGGGCCATTGGCCAGGTCTTGAAATTTGTGTCAGCCTAAACCAGAAATACTATCAAAGAGGAAGAGACCAGATGCCAATCATATCAGCGTGTTTTATTACGTGAACAGTTCAGTCTGTGAGGGCAACATTCTACATTTTGTGACTCTCGGTCCACAAGTGAAAGCTCATCATGTGTCTATGGACAAACAAACCAACAAAAAGCCTCCAAAAATGCTGTTGTTAGAGAAAGGACCCCTGACACCGACAGTGGAGATGTGACAACACCCCTGAGGGCAGGTATTCCATGAGTTCCATTGAGTCTTGCATAGGTAGAGAAGGCAGTTTTCAGAACATTGGCATTGATGAGGAGGGAAGGGCACCGAAAGTCAAGCAGAAGTTACATTCCGTGGGTCAGCTGAGGAATTGCCCAGGAAGACTGAGCATGGCTAAGTCTGCCCTGGGAAGCCAAAGCCAGGAGCCCACAGGTTTTGCTTGGAACCCTCATTCTTGGTGGGGTCCCAGCTTCTCATCTAGTCAGTCCTACAGTGTGAGCTGTCTAACCCCAGTCTCCTCTTCTGAAAATGGGGGTGCCACCTCACTCAATTGTTGGGAACATGGAATGTGTCGAAACATGCCAAAGAGACCCGAGTGCTGCCTAACACATAAACAGCTGGTATTATCTGGAATACTCTAGATTTGAAACAGAAGGGAAAATAACCCTCAGATGGAGACAGGGAGGGCTACCTGTAACGATGACTCCTGAAAGCTACTAAAAGGACAGTGAAAAACAGGTAAATAACTCACAGGCCAGCTCTCTGGGTACCTTCTGGAGAGGGGAGAAAAACCATGGCTGCAGATGCCTGGACAAGAGGAAGCTGTA